TATTCCCAGGTTCCTGATAAACATTACGAGGATATCGACAGGATCCGGAGACGGAAGCTAAATGTCCAGGAGGTGGCAGGAGGAGCTGCTGCCGTTCTCCCTCCCGACAGGACGGAAAATCGACCGGGATCGCCCTCGTCACTGGGAGCACCGACCTCTGACCCCGTGCCCACACAGGCTGCATGTCCCGGGGCAGTGGAAGGGGGTGTGAGGGTCACACAGCGCGATGCCACCTATCAGGAGGTGAGGACCCACTGACACTGTCTAATGAACAGAATGCCAACTATCGAGGGGCAGGAGGAACAGTTACCCCTGGGAAGGGAAACGGGCAGCGTCATTGTGTGTGGGGAACCCAGGGCCCCCTTCACGCACGGTGACTGGGAGACACTGGGTGTCACTGGGTGACACTGGGAGTTATTGAGTGTGTAACAGAGAAAGGGTGGTTGAACCCCTTTGGTAATCAACCCAAAACACATCCCCAATCTGTTATGGCACGAGTAGAGGTTCCCTCCTGATAATTAAAGCTGAAAGACCCTGAGCAGCTCGCCTTGCCCCCTCGTATTCTTTTGAAAGAGTAGCTAAATGAAAAGCGTCCCTGACACTCACTTTATAAGGAACAAGTAACAAATTATTTCTTTAACCCTAACAGTGGAAAAATTAACAGAACGACTAACAAACTGAACAATTCCCCTCTAACTACTAACTATTCCCTAATAAAACAAGGTTCTAATCGTATGCTGTTTTAATAAACACAGGTCCCCACTTCCCTGGCAGTTGGCTCTCATTCCGATTTTCGAAAAAAACCCCTTCTTATATACCTCCAATGACACATCAATTTCTTCTAATATGATTGGTTTCAGGTTGTCAAAACCATCAGTTTTCGTTCAGTTGGTTTTCAGTCGCTGAGTGCTTGGTTTAAATTAATTGGCTGATTGCAACTTGTTGCCAAAGCATCAAAACAAAACTGCAGTTTGGCCTCCCGACTGTAAGGCCTTTTGATCCACTTGTTTCAATTCTGGGGCTCTGTGGTCGGCCCTTGCAAATGTCCAAGCACAGACTAAACACAGTCTTTTAAAGGGACCAGGCACTGCTTTTCCCCTCAACATTTTTACCAACAAATCCTCACTTGCTGCCTTCCAATTCGTGAATACTCTACACAACCACATAACAAATGTCACTGAAAGTATGTGAGACCCAGGCTGAATTTGGACTATCTCTGGGTGTCTCTGCGTGTCACTGGGTATGACTGGGTGTGACTGGGTGTCTCTGGGTGTGACTGTGTCTCTCTGGGTGTCTCTGGGTGCCACTGGGTGTCTTTGGCTCTCTCTGGGTGTCTCTGGGTGTCACTGGGTCTCTCTGGGTGTCTCTGGGTGTCACTGGGTGTCTGTGGGTCTCTCTGGGTGTCTCTGGGTGTGACTGGGTGTCTCTGGGTCTCTCTGGGTGTGACTGGGTATGACTGGGTGTCTCTGGGTCTCTCTGGGTCTCTCTGGGTGTCTCTGGGACTCTCTGGGTGTCTCTGGGTGTCACTGGGTGTGACTGGGTGTCTCTGGGTGTGACTGGGTGTCTCTGGGTGCGTTTGGGTGTCTCTGGGTGTTACTGGGGGTCTCTGGGTGTGACTGGGTGTCTCAGGGTCTCTCTGGGTGTCTCAGGGTCTCTCTGGGTGTTACTGGGGGTCTCTGGGTGTCATTGGGTATGACTGGGTGTCTCTGGGTGTTACTGGGTGTCTCTGGGTGTTACTGGGGGTCTCTGGGTCTCTCTGGGTGTTACTGGGGGTCTCTGGGTGTGACTGGGTGTCTCTGAGCGTGATTGGGTGTCTCTGGGCCTCTCTGGGTGTGACTGGGCCTCTCTGGGTGTGACTGGGTGTCTCTGGGTGTGACTGGGTGTTACTGGGTGTCTCTGGGAGTCTCTCGGTGTCTCTGGGTGTGACTGGGTCTCTCTGGGTGTCTCTAGGTGTGACTGGGTGTCTCTGGGTGTGACTGGGT